TAATAATAATAATAATAATAATAATAATAATAATAATAATAATAATAATAATAATAATAATAATAATATACTTTTACAATACTAAATAATAATTCACTTCAATTATTTAGGTTAATTTGATTTACAATTATATATACTATAATATACTTTTAAAAAACACATAATTTATATGTAATCATATATGTGATCATAAAATAGTGCACTTTATATATGTAATCATATATGTGATTACATATAAAAAACACATAATTTATATGTAATCATATATGTAATCATAAAATAGTGCACTTTATATATCAGCATGATGCACTTTATAAAACAACATATTGCACATTATAAATCAACACGGCGCACTTTATAAAACAACAAACTACATTTTATCATCACACTCCACTACTAACGTTAATAGTTCCACCAAAATACCACACAACTTAAATCTAAAAAATAGATCTACATAATATTTTAACATCCATCACATCATCTGCCCACATAAAACACAAGCATGCCAACATAACAAAATTACAGGAGTGCACTTTATACATCAATATGTTGCACCTTACTATACAATATGTTGCACTTTATAAAATAAAACTCTGCACTTTTTCACGACTATAAGATCGCATGAATAGAGAATGAAACCAACTGAACCCATATTACTTTCAACCAAAAATAATATAAAAATAATAAATAAAATTATTAACATATTAAAAATAATTTTAATATAGATATTTTATCTATTATGTCTCTTAAACCCAAACTATATATAAATTATTAAATATAAAGAAATAATAAATATATTTTTATAATACAAATAATAAATCTTTTATATTATTTAGACTAATTCAGTTAATCGATCGAATAAATCGATCAATGTTTTAGTTTGGTGTGGATAAGACCATTACAAATGTATGCGATCAAGTGCACAATATTGATATATTAGTTGCACTTTAATGACTATTAGATTGCACATTTCTGTTCAATTTTTATTTTTTTTTACTTTCAAATTGCAGTTATTTCATTTTGATATCGGCTTCACTTTTAAAAATAAATTAAATAACCGAACCAACCAGACAATATAAAATAATAATAATAATAATAATAATAATAATAATAATAATAATAATAATATTAATAATAATAATATTATTATTATTATTATTATTATTATGATTACTATTACTATTATTATTATTATTATTATTTATTATTTAAATGTTTATGCATTGCGGGAGCACATTAGGGTTTTATGAATTGCACATTATGACTATTAGATTGCACATTATCGAACAAAATTGATTGGCTAAAGTTTTTAATTCAAAATTTTATATTTCAGTTCGATTATCTTATTTTACTTTTAATAACTCGGCTATTCTAGTTCGAAATCAGCTTTAAAAAAAAACTTAAATATCCAAAATAACAGAACGACTAAACTATATAAAAATATTATTATCATTTTGGTAATAGTATTATGCATTATTTAGCGCATTGACATTTTGGTAATGTTCGAAATTTTAATTATAATATTTTATGCAATTGTGCATTTAGTGTGCTTGCTAATTAATAAAGATATGGTATTGATAACCATCATTTTATAACGTTCATTCACCCTCATAAACTACATTAGAGAAACTATTTCACAACTTAGTTAATTAATCTTCCAAATGTTTATTTCGCAATTTTATAATTCCAAAAAGTTGATTAAGCCCAAAATGTTGAGATGTTATCAAAGTTTTGTATAGTTTTTCTATATGGAAGCAGCAATACTGGTCCTCACAATATTATAGCCAAATTATAAAAAAGAAAATAAAAGAAAATATGCTCGATTTTGCAGTTGTAGCTTGGTGCAATACTGGCAGATTTGTGTGCAACATAATTGTTCAGTCTAAATTTTTGTCAGCTAGCTAAATATATCTAACACTCTTAAAATTTTCCTACAAGTCCCTACATGTAATCTAATTTACAAAAATCAGCCCATCCCCCATTTCCCCCCATAAAACCATCTCCCACCTCCTCTCAGACCGATTAGCCCCGCACGGCCACACACCACCACGGTCTCCGCCACATTCACCACTAAAACACCATTGACACAAAAAANAAAAGGATGGCAGATCTGAGAGCATCAGCGGCGCCGGTGCACTTGCCGCCGCAGAGATTTCCGTGGTAGTCGCTGGATCTGTACCTGTCTGGCGGTGATGCTCGGCTCGACGCCTCGTCTCCGTCCACAGGCACATATTTTCTCTCCGTCCGTCACCGCGTCGCAACGCCGTCGTCCACCGCCGCGCCGCTTCAGTTCCGTCGGCCGCCAACCAAGGGAGGAAGACGCCTCTTATCTCCTGTGCGTGCGTCATGAAAGTTGGTGGTGTGTGTGGGATCTTCACGCCGGCGAGCTGTTATTCTCAGGGAGAGAGAAATAGTGAGCCATGGAGAAGAGAAATAGAGATGGTAGGTGGGAGAGAGAGAGATGGCATATCGGGAGCGATAGAGATGAGAGATAATTAATGGGTTGAGATGGTTGTGGAGCACACTACAAGATTTGTGTTCACACCAGTAATTACGCCTATGCCCTTTGACATAGAAAATTTACCTTAATTTTACACTGAAATTACGATTATGCCACCGCCTAATTCTGCGTGGTCAACACCTGTGACCCCATCTTAACCATTAATCTGACAGATCTTATATATTTATTCTCATTTCTTTCACTATTTCTCATTCTCATATGATTGCTTCTATATATATATATATATACTAGTACGTAACCCGTGCGATGCACGGAATGTAAAGTTTGGAAGAATAATATAACCTCACGTGCATTAGGATCGAAATTGAAATCATTAAAATACATAGGAACATTGTTGAATCATAAAAAGTTCGGTAACAATCATATATTATTAAAAACCTTTGGAAGAATAATATAACCTCACGTGCATTAGGATCGAAATTGAAATCATTAAAATACATAGGAAGATTGTTGAATCATAAAAAGTTCGGTAACAATCATATATTATTAAAAACCTCCTTGTATACAACATTACGAGTTTGATTATTTGGTAACTCTTCATTATCACAAACTAATATTTTCAAAAGAGACAAATCCTAAAAATCAAACTAATATTTTTGGTGAACAAACTAATATTTTAGGATTGGTGAACAAACTCATATTTTAGGATTTCTAAGATTTGTCTATTTTTTGGTAAATAAACTAATATTTTAGGATTGGTTATATGAATAAGACTACCTGTTTTTGGTGTTCTTTTCATTCATTTTCATTCAAACAATCCGATGACTTGTATAATGAAATCCGAATTTTAAGCCGAAATATTTAAAAAAAGAGTTTTTAAAAGTTGAAAAGTCAAGACAATCAGTTCAAATTAATTAAAGGTCAAAGAATATCCGCTCCTTGAAATAGAGACGTGTGCTATCATTAACAAAATATCCGGTTATTGATATAGAGTGGTTACCAAAAAAAAGAACGCGATAATGACGTTTCATGGAAATATCAATGGGATAAGGTCATAACAGATCGCTATACATTTTAACGATAAAAGCTCAGATGGAATGATTTATGATAATTATGTCGTAGATGTGTGAAAATGACATAATTAATGAGAAGTCTGAAAATGACATAATTAATGAGAAGTCTGAAAAGGACATAATTAATGAGAAGTGTGAAAAAGACATAATTAATGAGAAGTGTGAAACGGACAAAAACTTACCAGTTTTGGAAAATATTTAATGCAAATCCGACATTAACCATAATTTGGATTTGACCTACTATTCTGGATAAATGTTAATTCTTATTATATAAGTATAGATGAGTTATATAATAAAATACTGAATACATAATTGATCTTAAATCTCAATTTTTTTTTTTATCTTTACATAAGGCTTTTCATATTTTCTCTATCTTACAAATTTCATGACAAAATTAATTAGTAATCATTATTAGTGAAATTAATAACTTTTTTCATATTTTTAATTATTTTTTTAATGTTTTGTTTAATTTTTCTCTTCTTGCTTGAATATAAAAAATGTTATTTTATGATTGCAAAATTCAGTTATGTTAGTGATAGTCAATAAAAGAGTAAAACAAAGTCAACTCCTTTTCAGACGAGTTTCAGTTTATGTTAGTTATTTAGTTTTGCTAAACATAAAAACACTTTTCAATAAAAATATATAAAATGTATAATGAATATTTTGTACTCAACTAAATTTTAAGCTATACATTTAAGTAAAGAAAAGTTTGGAGCTTTCATTTCCTCATTTCTTTTGATTTGTGATTCTTAAGAAAATTCTCAAATTAATTTATAAATTTTAGTTATATTTTTATTTTAAATTTCACTGTTTTTATTATGGTGAATTACATTATAGATTTTTTTTCTTAACTTAAAAAATTATATTTTTATCTTTGAGCGAAAAGATTTCCTCCTTTACTTTCATTCATGATTCTTAAGAAATTTCTTAAATTAGTTTATAAATTTTAGCCATATTATTTGATAAGGTCCAGGATGAAAGACTTCGGTTCCTCAGCAGGTCCTCTTCGGTTTGAATGGTAGGTCGGTGGATGTGGTTCAGTCCATGCACTTGAGTTTGCTGGTACCTGCAAAGCACCGGAATTGCTCCGGCACAAAACCCTCCGACGCCCAAGTCAGTATCCGGCCATAAAGAGAAAGTTTAGAGCAATAAATGTAGTAGTGAAAATAAAATAAGAACTTACCTTTGGTTCTATCATTTAACGTATATATAGCGTTTAATTGTACGGATTACCTTTTTACTTGGGCATCTATCGGCCTAGTGTAGGTCGGTCGATACTGGGATATAGGGGTCGATACTAGGTTCACCTCACTGCTGCCTTGCGGTCCGCCTTAGTGGGTCGATACCCCCTTGACCCGTTCGACCGTGCACATCGACACTCGACCCGACCCTTAACGGTCCTTAATATCTGTGTTCTACCCTCCAAGCCATGGGTCTATGTGTTCTACCCTTTGGGCCATAGGTCTATGTGTTCTACCCTCCAGGACATGGGTCTATGTGTTCTACACTTTGGGCCATGGGTTTATGTGTTCTACCCTTCGGGTCATGGGTCTATGTGTTTTACCCTTCGGGCAATGAGTCTACATATTCTACCCTTTGGGCCATGCGTCTATGTGTTCTACCCTTCGGGCCATGGGTCTATGTATTCTACCCTTCGGGTCATGGGTCTATGTGTTCTACCCTTCGGGTCATGGGTCTATGTGTTCTACCCTTCGGGCCATGGGTCTATGTATTCTACCCTTTGGGTCATGGGTCTATGTGTTCTACCCTTCATGCCATGGGTCTATGTATTCTACCCTTTGGGCCATGGGTCGATGTGTTCTACCCTCTAGGCCATGGGTCTATGTATTCTACCCTCCGGGCCAAGGGTCCATGTGTTCGACCTCATCAGCCGGTTAATTCTCCGGCCCTCTTCAACCCTGGCTCAATCCCATGGTCCCTTCGACCCCGATTCTATGGGTCCTTATCCGGTTGAGTCGAGTCGGTATTAATGTCCATATCAACTACTCCCCCTATTTACGAGTATGCGAGACGAAGCTCGGATATTCGTAAATACAAACATCCGGATGATGATAAATACATATATTCGGCTCTCGATGTTACGTCTTCCTCATAATTTACTATTGTCGGTCGCCGCATGATTATCGAGCGCAACCCCTGGCTTACCGAGCACATGGAGTATAATGACTTCGAGGGTCGAGGCTTGACCCCAAGCCCCTTCGTCGGTCGATGTTATGGTCGGGGGTCGAATCCTTGGGCCAATCGATGGATCGATGCATGGTCGAGGGTCGACACCTTGGTCCGGTCAATACTTGAGCGGGTCGATGCACGGTCGATCGTCCTTCGATCGGTCTACGCTCGACAATTAGACCATTAGGCTATTAGATCATTAGACCAGTAGACCAGTAGACCATTAGGTGAAGCCTAATAGCCGAGTAGGCCATTAGGCTTGCTTGGCCTCCATCTCATGGGTCTTTTTCCGGTTAGATCGAGTCGGTATTATAATCCCTATCAACTACTCCCCCTATTTACGAGTGTACAGATAGTATTCCCGAGGAATCGTAAATACTCGGTCTTTTCAAGTGTACGGATTACGTATCAGTGGATTTAGCTTGCGCGTCGGATCGCATCCTTAGTGCTTGAGGCGTTGGAGCTTGACCCCCACGCTCGAGGTGTCGAAACTCGACCCTCGTGCTCAAGGTGTCCGAGCTCAAACCTCGTGTTCGAGCAGCCCGAGTTCGACTTGGCGCTCGCGCTGTCGGAGCTTGACCTTCGCATTTGAAGTGTCGGTGCTCGACTCTTACGCTTGGGGTGCCGGAGCTCGATATTTTTTTCTGATGCGATACGTCGTGCAGTGGTGCGTCGACTTGTGACGTATCGGTTTTCTTCGTGTCGACCTTCTCTGTGTCGAACTGCTTTGTGTTTGACCTGTGTGGTGTCGACCCGCGTGGTGTCGACCTACTTGGTGTTCGACCAGCGTGGTGTCGACCTGCGTGGTGTCGACTTTCGTGGTGTTCGACCCGCGTGGTGTCGACCTGCGTGGTGTTCGACCAGCGTGGTGTCGACCGGCGTGGTGTCGACCCACGTGGTATTCGACCCGCGTGGTGTTCGACCTGCGTGGTGTCGACCTTCGTGATGTTTGACCCGCGTGGTCCTTGATGTTGTGTATTCAACGTATGGTCCTTTGGGATTTCGACCTTCTTGCCCATGATTTGTTTCTTACTTCGGGTTTCGACCCTCACCTTGTAAGGATTTATCCCCGATTCAAGGGTGTTGTAAGGATCGATACCCGGTGTCTAGATGCGAGGTCGATATCTTGTGTGTTCGATCTCGAGCGTGATGCTAGGTGTGAGGTCGACACTTAGTGTGGTTCGATCCCAGTTCAGGTCATGCCATGGTTGGCTCGATCCATGAGGCTTTATCCCATATCCACTACTCTCCCCGATTTATGAATATACAGGTATATTTCACCCGTGTAAGCATAAATAACACTGGAGGCGCCGACCCTCGAGGTATCGACCCTTGACCCTTGAGGCGTCGACCCTCGAGATTATCTACCCTTGAGGTGGTCTACCCTTGAGGTCGTCGACCCTTGATGCGATGGCCTTTGGAGTGTCGATCCTCAATTCGTTTATCTGTGAGGTTGTCGACCCTTGACCCTTGAGGCGTGCAGTTGTCGACCATCGAGGTGTTGACCCTTGAGGTTATCTACCCTCGAGATCGTCGACCCTTGAGGCATCGGCCTTTGGGGTGTCGATCCTCATAAGGCAGCTGGAGGAAGCTCAGTTGGTCATCGAGTAGCGTCTTGTAAGGATCTATCCTCGAGCTTAGATCTATCCTTGAGCTTCGACCCACGAGCCTCGTATGGATCAATCTTTGAGCTATGAAATCGATCTAGCTTTTAGATACGAATCTATCTTCTCCCGGCCATGAAATCAATCTAGCCTCTAGCTACGATTCGATCTACTCCTGTCCATGAAATCGATCTAGCTTTGAGCTTCGGATCGATCTATCCTCAAGTTTCAGCTCAACGTTTGGAGCTTTTAATGTAAATAGTAAACAAACACATATAATCGTCGAAACAAACGACTGTGATCGGAAAGCGCACATATCATCCATAAAGCAACTCGCCAAGACAAACGCATATAATCGTCAAAAAGATTACTTTCAAAACGCCTAAGAGCACACGATATCCACCTGAATAAGTACTTCATAAAAAATGTATACAACAGTCCCAAAAGGATCATCCGGGACTAGTTCTATGCATAGATACGCTACTGATCGAGGTAGCGATTCTTCAGATGGACATGTTACTCGATCTAGCCTTGAAGCTTCAGATCGAGGTAGAGACTCTTTAGATATCGACTCTGTGTGGTCGATTGGGTCAATCGTTGAGGGTGTCGATCGTGCGACCTCGTTGGTCAGGAGTGAGCCTTACGGGTCGATTATGTGCCCGCCTCGGGTGTTGGTTGCGTGGGTTGAGCGACGACCATGCGGGTCGAGCATGTGCCCGCGTCAGGTGTTGGTTGCGTGGGTCGAGCGCCTACCAGGTAGGCCGACCGTTTCGACCATCCACACGCGGGTTGTGCGCCATGTGGGTCGATCATGTCAACTTTACACGCGGGTCTTCCGTCGACCATAGAGTCGACCATGTCGATAAGGTCAACCATGTTTGGTAAAGTCGATGACATTGCGTGGGGCGACCACCTTGCGTGGGTCGACCCTATCGTGCGGGGCTATTAGATTGCGCGGGGCGACCACCTTACGTGGGTCGACCATATTGCGGGGGGCGACAACATCGCGGGGCGACCACCTTGCGTGGGTCGACCAAGGAGCGAGGGGCGACGACATCGCGGGGCGACCACCTTGCGTGGGTCGACCATATCGCGCAGGGCGACGACATCATGGGGCGACCACCTTGCGTAGGTCGACTATATCGCAGGGGACGACGACATCGCGTAGCGAAGACATCACGTGGTTCAACGACATCGCGCGGCGAAAACTGCCCGGGGCGACCACCTTACGTGGGTCGCGTGGGTCAACTATGTCACGCCTTCAGGTAAGTCACCCGCTCGTGCGGATTGACAGCGTGCTCTCATTGGTTAACCCTGTTGGTCAGTCCCGCATGACCCTCGTGTGTTCACGGGTCAACCGTGTCGACCCTGCATGCCCACAGGACGATTGCACACTTACATGCATCAACTTTCCCTTGTACGGGTCTCGTGTTCTCACTGATCGATCGCATCGATCCTGCGTGCTCCTGGGTCAATCGTGCACCAGCGTGCATAGTCCTTACTTTCTGCGTGACCCCGGGTCGATCGCACACCTACGTGGGTCGATCGTGCGCCCACGTAGGTCGATCGGCACCCGCGTGGGTCGATCGACCCAAGTGGCCTTGAAAAACTTGCTTGAACTTTGCCCCAGACGAATTTTTCCCTAAGGCTTCTAGTCAACCATCTGGACTTGCGAGATATGCCTTGGGTGACTTAGCCCTAAGGCTTCTAGCAGACCCTCGGGCCTTCGAAACTTTTACCCAGGTGATCTAGCTATAGAGCTTCTGATCGACCTGCGTGACCATGAAAACTTTTACCCCAGGTGACCTAGCTATAAAGCTTCTGATCGACCTACGTGGCATTGAAACTTCTTGCCCCAGGTGATCTAGCCTTAGAGCTTCTGATGGACCCGCGTGGCCTTGAAGCTTCTAACCCTAGGTGATCTAGCCTTAGAGCTTCTGATCGACTCGCGTGGCGTTGAAACTTCTTGCCCTAGGTGATCTAGCCTTAGAACTTCTTGCCCCAGGGGATCTAGCCTTAGAGCTTCTGATCGACCTGCGTGGCGTTGAAACTTCTTGCCCCAGGTGATTTAGCCTTAGAGCTTCTAATCGACCCGCGTGGCGTTGAAGCTTCTTGCCACATGTGATCTAACCTTAGAGCTTCTGATCGACCCGCGTGGCCTAGAAGCTTCTTGCCCCAAGTGATCTAGCCTTAGAGCTTTTGATTGAGTTGCGTGGCCTTGAAAACTTTTACCCCAGGTGACCTAGCTATAGAGCTTCTGATCGACCTGCGTGGCCTTGAAACTTCTTTCCCCAAGTGATCTAGCCTTAGAGCTTTTGATCGACCCGCGAGGCCTTGANGCGTGGCATTGAAACTTCTTGCCCCAGGTGATCTAGCCTTAAGCTTCTGATCGACCCGCGTGACGTTGAAACTTCTTGCCCCAGGTGATCTAGCCTTAGAACTTCTGATCTACCCGCGTGGCCTTGAAGCTTCTTACCCCAAGTGATCTAGCCTTAGAGCTTCTGATCGACCCGCGTGGTGTTGAAACTTTTGATCGACCCGCGTGGCCTTGAAAATATTTGTAGGTTACGCATGATGTATCTACCTACCCGATCTCTTCACGTAAACCCCCCAAGGCTCGAAGTGACAAGAAAGATGACAAATTGAACATAAATATCATAATATCCTCAAATTAGGACATACACAAGCAATGAGATGCCTCGTAAATTCTTTCATATAAATTCTCTCATATAAAGGATGGAGGCAGGCTTGAAACATAACAAGCTAGAACACAACAATTGTCCTGGAGCAAGCGATGATCATGCAGTCTATCAGAATGAGGTTCACATAATTATTTGGACTTCACGCATAAGCGATAGGTGAACAAACCTAAAGTCAATATTATTGGACACTTCAACGACAACACATTCAGGGGATTCTCAATCATCCCCAAAGTTTCAGTCAAGATTATCCCGAATTTATTTTCCCACATATATAAATTTGTTCAGCTTTAACAATCGGAAGCAATAGGCTATATCATGATTAGTATTCATCCTCAA